AAACAACTACTGCGTTCAAATAATGTTAAGGTCGGTCACTCAAACCACCTAGATATTAGATAAAAGTCAAACCTTAGTCGATGACCCAAAACCCTAAAGTTTAACCCAAGGTCAAACTTAGTCCAAAAGTCAAACTTTTGTTAATAGGCGCTCCACGTCCTCTTTTGGGCGCCCAACACCCGCTATAGAAAAAATTAGTCGGGGTTCAGACAATTCACACGCGCATTAGGAAAACCTAAAAGCACCCTGGCGTCTTTCCAAATTCAATATTTAATTTTCAACTTAATCTCCCAAGTCCAAGCATCCAACTCTCAGATATAGATCCAAATGATGACTTAATTGATAAAGTTTCCAAATTTATCTATTAGGATACCACAACCCAACTATATCTAAAGCCTTAGATCCCAAAAAGTCTAAGATTGCATTTTCTTCAAGCATGGAGTAAAGAGAGCATATTCATGCACTCTAAACTCAACCAAAAGGTCAGATCTTCAATGTTTATAAGATCATGGAGTTGTCCAAACTCCATAGATTAATCCATCAAAGGGACCAAAACATCAAATAATTGACTAAACCCCCAAATTGCAATGTTACACCCTTTGTTCAGGTAATTTCATTTGCAATGTAACACCCTTTGTTCAGGTAAAGTTCGGATCTTCATTTATCTTCTACAAGATGAGTGAGGGTTGACTTTTTCAATTGCAATGTAACAACCTTTATTCATGTAATTTCATTTTTTTACCCTAAGTATATAATTTGTTGCAAAATGGTCCCATGGCTCACTTAATGAAAATGCGCCTTCAAGTGAGTATGATGGGCGTACTCGCGAGTACACAGGACGTACGTAACAAAGGAAAAAACACTAATTTTTAGGGTTTGAACCATATTTAAGCATCATTATCTTCTCAAGACCTTTTCCCTCATCAGCCTATATCTTTCAATTCGTCCCTACCAAACCCTAATCCTTTGTGGGAGCCTTTTTGAGCTTGAGAGTGCATTTTTGGTGTTCTTGAATGAAGAATAAGGAAGGGAAATCATCTTGGAAGCTCAAATCATTTTGGATCCATAAGTGTTTCATCCTCAAGCATCTTCAAGAGGTATAAAGTTTGAAAATTGATGAGTTATTTTCTTAGATCTTGTTAGCCTTTAGTTTATGTTCATTTTTGGTCTTATAAGCTTGGTGTTCACGAGTAGGGTCTACTCTAACCATAAGAGTTATCCTTTCAGACGATTTGAGGTGATTAGAACCATAAATGTTATCTTTGTCCTTCTATCCCTTCCATGCAAGAGTTATGATGTCTTAATGGAATAATAAGTTAGGGTTTTAGCTTTTGGACCTTTTCTAGCCATGGAAACTCATAAAGGTGGAAACTTTATAACCTAGAATGATGTTTTGGGTCTAGATCTGAATTTGGATGAAAAGTCATTATAAAATAAGTGCTTAATGTTAAGGAGTTAGTCTAGGTGGAGTACGTCAGGCGTACCAAGTGGTACGTTGCGCGTACTGCGCTAAAGCCCCGATAATTGCCTTGATCACAACTACGCGCAACGTAGTAACTAAGTACGTAGGGCGTACTCAGTCAACTTAGCTTTCCTTGAATTTTTGAATTTCTAATTTTGACCTTTGACCCAGGGTTTGACCAAGTTTGACCTATGGTCATTTTAAGTATTTTGAGTTATAGTTTGAGTTTGGGTCACTGTTTGTTGTATAGGTGACATGTAGAGTTGGTATTTGGAGCAACATCTTTTTTATGCTATCTTTTTTTAGACTGTGAGGTGACTTTCCTCACTATACTTGTGGGTTGAAAGCACCAATGCCGACCCATTCAGTTATGTATCCTCGTATATAGGATGTTGCTATGTTGTAGTGATATGTTAGATCTACATGATTATCTATTTGTTGGTTATATGTTTATCTGTTACATATACTGACATAGTATGGGTAGGATGAGGTTGTACTACTTTGTGCCATCGGCCAACAAACCCAAGCAATCCAATCGGGAGATTTTGGGCCAGTGGCAATCCAATCGGGAGATTTTGGGCTAGAGTGGTAATCTAATCGGGAGATTGTGGTTCAGGGTGGCAATCCGACCGGGAGGTTGTGTGCCAAGGTAATCCGGTTGGGAGACTATGGACACAGTATGCATTTGTATCTATGCTGGTTGTGTAGGGTATTTGGGGAAACTCACTAAGCTTTGGATTACAATTTAAGTTTTATGTTTCAGGTACTTTAGATGATCAGGGCAAGGAGAAGGCTTGATCGTGCACATCCTTCAATTTTTATGAGATTTGATTTTGGAATATTTTGATTTGTAAATTTGACTTTTGGAAACTAAGTTTTGCAAACATTTAGGGTTGTGGTTTGGTTTTGAAAAATAAAAATTTTACCTTGATTTTTGGTGATGTTATAAGTTGGTATCAGAGCCCTGGTTTGAGAGAAATTGATGATCATTCATGTGAATCCAGACTCAAAATAAGGATCTATAAAAGTTTTTCAAAATGGATTTCAAAATTGTTTTCAAAATTAATCAAGGAAGGATGAGATGTGTGTGATCAGCCGAAGCAAGAAAGTATACCCCAAGTTACCCACATTTTTATTTTTATATGATGTTTATGGTAGAACTACATGATAGTGGTAGGCTAGATATCCTCAAGAATTACATGGTAAAATTGTCTGACGTATGATACCTAATAGCATAGGAGGACTTCTTGTATGTTAGATGAAATTGACATCATTATTGTAGTTGCTTAGTATGTGCATCAAAGTTGTACATAACTAGGATTCTATAGCCTGAGAATATTTGGTTTAGCCTTATTTTGTGGGCTTAGGGTAGAATCAGGTATTCGACTGTCCATGGAATCTAGCATGGAGTTTGATTAGCAATCACAAGCGGCTGCAGGGTTGGTGGAAGATCATGAGTGAGTATAGGGGCAGCAGGCCAGTTGAGGAATGTTTAGCCACTCTTGAGAGAGTATACATAGTATATATATGTGTATCCTAGATGCTTGGACCTAGTGTTCAGGTATTTCGTGTAAGGATCTACCTGTTTTTATGGTGTTTTTGTGCCATTCGGTTTCACTGCTCAACTTTTTCTTACTTTGTGTTTTGTAGAACCCATGTTGATGTGAGTTAACTATTAAATGAATATGTTAAGTTCAATGTTGTAAAGGCTAACTAATTTTAGAATGATTGATTTGGCCCTATTGTGTAGCTCTCATCTGAGTCTAACTGTTGTAGGGTTAGGTCTTTTAGTCGAAAGATTATTTAAGTTTTGTTGCATGTAATTGTATTCATGGAGTGGTTAGCTAACATTAACATTAATAGGGGTTTTTTAACAGCTGATGGAAGGGTGAGGTGGGGGGATCATAGGAGAGCCTAAGAAGTGCTTTAGTGCAGGAGCTATGTTGTGTACAGAGCATTGGGAGTATGATTATGAGTAGGTGACTTAGAGGACTAGGGATGATTCTTGAGGAAAGTATGGATAGGTGTGGAATGTAGTATTAGGCTCATACTACTGAAATTACAATATCCATACTCGAATTGAGGGAGCTCACGAGGACTCTAAGGAGCTAGTTGAGAGTAGATAGTATGGTTTGGTAACCATGATTCATGCCAGTGTTTCTATATCTATAAATCTTTTGGTTATGGATGTTAGGCTAAGGATGGTACCGGTGATTGTTTAGGCCTCAATGGCCATGTCAGGTTGGGTTTGAATGGTGCATACCTAAAGATTTATTTTATTTTGGAGGTCACACAGGCCAAACTCAAGGTAGTTCAAGTAGAGTTATGGGACTTAAGAAGGAAGTGATTGTTATGATTGGCTCAAGGATTACAACCAGAGGCTGAGCGATTAGAAAATGGATTGGAATGTTGCTATCTATGGTGGGGTTATGTCCTTTACGGTTTTCCGTGTTTGGAAGGATGAGTGAGCAGACATGAGACTTTCAAAGGTGATACGTAAACCCAATACGAGGCTAGAAGGTTGTGGTCTTTAGCGACAGTATGTCAGTGTGGGAATACACAAGAGGATTTTTGTGGTAAGGCGGCCTTGAGATGAGATCAAGGGACTTCTTTCTTATAATATAAGCATTTCAAGTGCTAGTTGATGGTTTTAGATGATTAGGTAAGTGAATCGGGAACGACAACTTTGCTGTCTCTAGTGCATCCCGACTATGATAATGATGCCTTTTGTATTTATGATTGATTCTCACAACGGATTGATGGTTTGGGATTTTCAGGCAATGAGTGTGGTAGCTCATTTGTTTCCAGTTAGGAAGTTGGTGTTATGAATGAACTTTTAGAATTATTGCTTGTGCATCTGCATGTGATTCTTGATGTTGGAGATAGTAATGGTTAGGGAGTTCCCGAGGTCTCCATCTAAGATTTAGAATCTCTTGGAGTTTTCTTGGTCATAATCTATAAGATCATCTTACGATGTCTTATACATTCCAAGGGCCAGGGATGTTATGCATCTGGTTAACCCAGTTTGAGTTTTAGTCATTTTACAATGCCAGTTGGTGGTAGTTTGAACCCCAAGTGAGGGAGAGCAAAGTATTCTGCTTGGAGGGTCGTCGATCTGTCCGATGGGATTTGGTCAATATGGGGGTGTAGAGCAAGATGTCATCAGATGTATGTGTTCAAGAATGCAAGAGTCGTCTTCGTGACAAGAAGTTGTTGGGAAAGGGGCTCGTTGCAGAGAGTGGTTCCTTTCGGGAACATCAAGGAATAGATCAAGAGGCATTTTGGTCGCTCAGGTTAAGTATCGATTGTTGAAGGATTTGTCAATTTTTTTTATAGATCGATACCTATAGTCTAGAATGGGCAGTTGTCGATCGGTAAAACAGTTTAAGAGTTAGGTATGTTTAGTCCCTCGTGCACATTGTCCAGTACTATATTGGATCAAAGGATTAGTTGTTAATGTTATCTTAATCGTTGGTCTTTTTTAATCGTCAATAGTAGAGGTTCTTCAGAAGTTTAGAGTTGTATCAGTTGGAGTTCAATGGATGCATGGATCAGGATTTTTAAAGCCCTATTGTTGAAGAAGAAGTCTTGCCTTCAGAATGAGCTGAAGCTTCAGGAAGCTCCTTTGAACACCCGAGTTGGACATTTCCAAAGGCAAAAGCGAGTTTTCTAAATCTGAGTTAGTTGATGTGGTTCTGCTTCAAAACATAGTCTTTGATCTGGAACAAAGCTCTGCTGAAAAAGATTTGATAATTGGAAAGTAGGACATTCGAATCAACGAGCTTGAAAAAGAGAACTCCATTAAAGATTCAAAGATCTCAGAACTTCAAGCCAATCTCGGTGGTCTAACTACTCTATCCTTTGACATGACACAACACCTAATTCAAAAGTTTAGTGATGAATTTCAACCTTTGAGCACTGAGGGAGAAAAGATCACTGCTTCTAGTTCAGGTCCCGGCAATCCAACTTCATAGTCTTCAAGTGAAAGAGTTGTAAGACCAGCTCCAGATACTAACCTTGATTCATTATTATCTTCTGGTCCTGCTTCTGCTCACGAAAGAAGAGAGAAACAAACTAAGGTTGAGTAGCTGAAAGGAAAAATGCTCGTAATGAAGCATTCAGACCAAAGTACTCCACGTGATCATCCTGAAATGTTCTTCAGAGAAACCGGAAAGAAATTTACAGATAAATACGGGGATCGTTCTGGCATCATGATGTGAGGATATGATGCTAAAAAGAAAATGTGGATCGTGAAGCAAAAAAGCGGATGAATTGAATATTAGGAGAAGAAAGTCGACTTCTTGTACTGGACAAAAGTTGATCTTTATGAACTCATCCATGCACATTTCTACAATCCAACCAAGGATACCATGGCATGGTCTTTTAAGAATTTTCTTGAGATTAAAGTGAAAAATAACTTTGAAGATTTAAAGACTGCTTCATCATTTACTAAGAAGGCTAAGGGTGTCATTGATCCTTGTACAAACAAAACTCTGTTGAATGTCATGTAGCCACCCACAAAGCAAACCAAAAGGATTCCTCTTCCCAAACGTTTACCTGAAGGAACTTTGGATACAATGCAATTTTGGGTTTATGATGAGGCTACTGCATCAGTGGTGATCAAGCTGAAGAAAAACCAGTATCGTATTGTTGATCCCATAGACTTGTTGAAGTTTGAAGAATGTGATATCCACACCTTATCAAACTTTCAAATAATTGTTGAGAATGAACTTTTTAAATCTGCAGCAAAATCCTTCACTGGAATGGTACCCACAATAATTAACTAGAAGATGTGGGCGGGGGCATTTGATCAAGCCGATGTGTATCTCGTAGAGAAACCTTGAAGAGAACAGAAAGCAATAAACCAAAGGGGAGATTATTGGGCTATATTTAGTGGTTTATGCTTTTCCTTGAGTGTTTTATGTGTTCTCGGTTTTAGACCGAAATCACTTAGTGATTTCGGTAGGCTTAGTGTGTTTTCAGTTGGCTTATTATGTTTGGACTTTAGGTTATCGGTCTAGTGTGTGTGTCTATATATATATATATATATATATATATATATATATATATATATATATATAGTCCAATAATCTCCCTTTGGTTTATTGCTTTCTGTTCTCTTCAAGGTTTCTCTACGAGATACACATCGGCTTGATCAGATGCCCCCACCCATAACTTCTAGTTAGTTATTGTGGGTACCATTCCAGTGGAGGATTTTGTTGTGGATTTAAAAAGTTCATTCTCAACAATTATATATATATATATATATATATATATATATATATATATATATATATATATATATATATATATATATAGTCTGTGTATAGCCGTTCTAGTTAATGTATTTTTAGTGAACATTAGTGATTCACGCCTAAAAGGGTAATTAAGTGTACTTGAAAATTATTCAATAGAATTGTGTGCATTCATTGAAACGTGTTCTTGATACATCTAATTGTTTGTTTCTCATTATTGTTTGATTAAGATTCCGCATTAACTCAAACAATTGCATTGAGACCTTGATAGATCCGAGTTTAGGGACTTACAACTATAATTGTTATGTACTTGATTTTATAGTAGCATGGTCCTTTTGGGTTGCCTTAACACTGACAACTAGACAGGATGACTATTGGAGAGAGAGGCTGAATTTTTTATTTGGAATAATAAATTGGTATATAAAATGATTTATTCATATGTTATGAGAATAGTATATTAATCAGAAATCATATTATTAATTAGTATTTAATCATAAATTAATTTTGGGATTAAAGGAACTGGTTAAAAGTATAGGGGTTGTTTTCTAATTATTTGATAGTTGGTGTTTTGGGCTCTTGGATCACCCTTGTTGGGATAGACCGAAAATCCCTAGAAGATTCTAGGGGATTTTGTCCAAGCCTCGTGGAGGGGATTCCATGGGCTGCTTAGGCCCTAAGCTAAGGAATTAGGGTTTCCACCTCAACACCCTAGCTTTGGATCTAAGCCACCTCAACTATAAACACACCTCAACTATAAATAGAGACCTCATCCTATGAGTTTCGTACATGCTTATGAAACCCTAGAAGAGTCGAAACCTTGAGTGCATATCTCCTCTCTCCTCTTTCTCATAATTACCCTATTGACGTGGTTTGTTTGCGAGCCATTAGAGGTACTACACTTGTGGTGCTTGTTCTCAAAGCAAGGATCTTCAAGATTTCATTGTTATTACTATATAGCAATAAAGGTATGTGATCTAATCATTCTTATGCAGATTTCGAAATTATTAGATGCATGCTAGAGTTTCCAGTTTTTGTGTTCAATGCTTGTATGTCTAATAGTGGAAACATAGATCCTCAAATTAGGGTTCCATGCACACATAGGATTGTTTGCTATGTAGAAAACCCATCATAAACTTCATACCTTGATCTTTGATCTTATTATTTCAAGTTTGAGTTCATTTTGGATGATTTTGGTCCCTTCCATGGACGCTCTTGGATTTAAGGGACTCTAGAGCTTGTTGAGGCTCTTAAATGGTCATTAGGTTTCTGAAAATGAGAAAAGAGTCATATTTGGGACTATCTTGTGTTCTTCAGCAACTTCTGGACATGTTAAGGACTTAAGGTTATAGATCTTGCTTTGGAGCGAGGTCTTAATGGATAAAATTGGAACCTTTATCAATTAAGCTAGTGGGAAAGATTAGATATGAGGTCTTGAGCCTTGATCTACAAGGATTAAGCTCTTAGTGAAGAATTATAGAATCTAACATTGATCATGTCATGGATAAGGGAATGAACACGATGCGGTGAATTCTAGCTTCACGATTGTTTTTTCTCAACATATACGCAACATGACCATGTCATGCATGTCATCTACTTTGTCCTGTCATGACCATGATGTAGCCAAGAGGTCTCCATGTCGTGATGGTTGTTGACTTGGTTAACCGTGGACTTTTGTTGATCACTGGTCATTGAATTTTCACCAGCTTGACTTGGGGTCAAACTTGGAGGAATTGGATTATTAAATGGGGAGTTTTTTTCGGTGTTAGTTGGTTTTCAAGATTGAGCAGTGAAAGGTGTACAAGTGTTGTTGTGTTTCTCCGGTTCTCCAGTTTAGGTGAGTTTCTCACTATGTCATGTATCCCATTGTATATCCTTTGCAAGGTATGGTAGCGGTACTATTAGCGTACAAGTACACTACTTGGCTAGCATAACTTTTTGCTATGTATGTGCACTTTAGGACACTTGGTGTCTTGGAATGTTAGACCGGTAGGGTCTTTCATGCTGATCGTATGATACTGTTAGGAGTTATGTTTGGAAAGGTAACTAAGGAAGGCCAATATGTATGTTGATAGGTCAGCGCTAGAGTCGATGATTTTATGTGAATGCATTGTATGTATGGGTGGATATTTGGTATATCGAGTAACTCACTAAGCTTTATGCTTACATTTGTGGATCAAACATTTTACAGGTCGTTCATGAGAAGAGCTCGACATGATTGTACACACGCATCAAAGATATTTGTTTCCTCGGTTTTGTAAATTTAACTATGATAATGTATGGTTTCCAATCAATCAAATTTTATTCAATGGTTTTTGAAACAAAGGTTTAATTGGTTAATCTAGTTTAAAAATGAAAATTCTCTTTGTAATTTTTGGGACATTACAGTTGATGACGTATCTAAGTGGGAGACTATTGGAAATAGATGTCAAATGTCCTAACTAATTGGTATATCTTTAGCGAAATCAGTTTTAGGCTGCCCTCAAGAGCTAAAACAATTAGAAGGAATTAAGATAGTGAGATAATTAGTTAATTGATTTATTACGAGTTAATAAATTAATTAGAAAATAATTAGAAATTAATCGAAATTAATAAGAATTAATTTGGGATTAATTATAATTAACCTGGAGGTATAACAATTGATTGTTAGTTGTTAAATAGTTAAGAAATAAGAACATTCTAAAACCCTTATAGTGGTGGATGTTTTAGGGGTTTCTAGAAAGCTTCCATAATTAATCCAAGCGTAATAGATAAGGCAGTGATTTGAATAAAGATTAAAACTTAATATTTAATTGATTCAAATCAGGGGTATCTACTTATCACCATAGCTGTATAAAGACCCCTGTAGACCTTCATAATTTCGTGTCATCTCAACCTCCTGAAAGGTTGAGATATTCAACTCTCGTCTTTCTCTAAAAGTTTGCTAGTTTTAGTCTTTTGGGTGTGAACCATTAGAAACTGTGACATACATGTTAATAACCTTTTTCGATTATCGTGTTTTGTAAGGCTTATTAGCTTAAAATGAATAATATTATATGTTTTTGAGCATTGAGTTCTAACAAGATGGTTTTTACGAGATTTGAAGTAAAACTATGTTTAGAATCACTCGAAATGTATTGGAAGTCTGATGAAATTCCGATCAAAAGTCAACTATCGAAATTAACAAAAATATAAATTTTGAAACAAATAAAAGTAATGTTATTGAAAGTTGTAGATTATCTTGTTAGAAGCATTTGGGCGAAAACCTCATTGAAATCTGTGTTATAACGAAGAAGTTATGACCAATCGAAGATCCGCGACAAAACCGGCAAATCACTATTTAGCGTAAAAAGTGAGTTTTCAATAAACTAATTTTCAGCTATAGTGATCAAAATGAAAGTCGTAATATTCTTTAAAACGAGAACTTTCATAAAAAGAATGTCAAAAGCAGACTCTGTATGAGGAAGTTATGATTTTTTTAAGATTTGATATAGCAATATACAACTAAAAACTCGAAATAAAGATCAAGTGATTTTTAACCGACGCAACCTAAACAAGAATCAAAGGTCTCATCAATAGTAGTACAACGGTGAAAAGACAGATGAAAACAGACGTCGGATGAAGAAGTTATGAATTTTTAACAGATTTTCCTGTCCCGGTCTGTTAATAATAATAATTTTAAAAAAGACAAAATTAGCCAATGGAGTCTAAACGAATGGTGTAGAGTATAATCTCACATACGT